TACCTCGGTGGAGACTCAGAGTGGTCAATAGTTGGAGCTGGACTGTTTAGGGGCTACAGTTTCTCTACCCTGTGAAACAACTAGGGTTGTCACGATACTAAACTTTTCAACTCGATACCGATACTAAGGAAAATATTCGATACTCGATACCATTTTCGATACCACAAGGATAAAAACAGACTCTAAAATTCAACAGAAATATTTTCATTAACAAATAAAATACAATAAATAAATACAATAAAGGTTGTTTGCTGTACACAATATCAAGCAAGCTTGATAAACAACTTATAAAATTTAAATTAAGTGTTCCTTCCTTGGCTATGCTTTGCACACATAACAATGACACTAGCCAAACCAGTTAAGAAACAAAAATTATTCTCAGCAGCTGCAACTCTTACAAAAAAAGTGTGAAACTGAAAAGTGCACAGAATTAATCAATCCCACAGTGTTCAGAAAGTGCATTTTCTTCTATTCTGCACTTTAGATGAATGACTGCTTAGGTGCCACTGGTGGTGGCACTGTATCGATACTTTTAAAAACGAGTATTGTATCCGGATACAACATTTCAGTATCGATACTTTTTTGAGTATCGATACTTTTGACAACCCTACTGCACACACACAGGCTGTGCTTGCCTGCTCACAGAAAGAGAGGATCATGGTCAAGGCTCTCTATGGCAGGTTCAGCAACTGAGGGAGCTGACTCCAGTGTGATCAACCTGCGCTGTCAAACCCGACGCATGCGCGCTGTTCATTTGCAGTCTGGATGCTGAGGGTAAACATGCTGTGTCTCTGACTATAGCGCTGAGAGGGACTACTGCGGAAGCGGGAGAACGGGGTTGGGACTGGGGGAGGCGCCCCACGGCAGACACCAGAAAAGTCGCTAGATTTGTCGCCAGTCGCTTTTTTGAAAATGAGTCGCTGGAGGGGTCTGAAAAGTCGCGACAAAGTCGCTGAGTTGGCAACACTGGGCTTTGGTCGCAGTACCGCCACCTTCTGCTCTGGAGTGTAATCGCTTCCCCTATGAGAAAAAGGAGCAGCGCATGAACCGAACGAAACACACGCGAACCAAACCGAGACAGTCGAACCGAACGATTCTGACGGTTTTCATAAATCGTCCCATCCCTATTATATATTATATATATATATATATATAATAGGGATGGGCGGTACTGCGACCAAAGCCAACTACCAGTAGTAAACAAGAAGAAGAAGAAGCGAAGCAGCTTAGCCGGGTGTAGCAGGGGGAAAAAATCAGTTGTGGAGAACTGTGTCGGAATGGCGAGTGGGAAAGAACAGGAGTTGGAAGACGCGCCAGCAGCACTTTATAGGTCTGCTGTATGGGAGCACTTTGCATTTAGAGTGACCTACGATGACGGCAGAAAGAAAGTTGTGGATAAAAGTGCAACAGTGTGCGAGCATTGTGCAACACGTTTTGTTTACGCTAACAGCAACATGAACAACATGTCATGCTAACCCCGAAATCCCTCATACTCAGTCAGCGCTCCGCCCCACTGCGCTCCAGACCAGCTGCACAAAGCAAAGCCTACAGCCTCCACTGTGGCTTCGTCCGCTCCCCTTTCTCTCTCTTGGAGATTTATGGGATTTCGGTGTAACAATCAACATGTATCGAACCAAACCGAAAACCGTGACCAGAAACCGTGAATCGAACCGAACCGTGGATTTTGTGAACCGTTCCACCCCTAATATATATATATATATATATATATATATATATATATATATATATAAAACACTGTTTATAAACTGTCTTATTCTTCCTACCCATTCTATTTGTCGACATGACCTCAGTATTCCAGGTTTCGATCTGATGCTTGACTGACACAAGCATCAGAGCAGACATTTGGACTGCATTTAATAACAATGTATTTCTTTTCACTCACTAGGTTCAAACACCAAAGAAATATGGTCTTCAAAAGAGGTTACACAGTGTTGTTTTGCAAAGTCATACAGGCCCAAGCTTGGTATAAGAAGCTGCTTAGGGCTCCAAAGAAACTGGAGGGGCATATGAGGGAAATTTAAATATATTTCCTGGTCTTTTGGTCCAGAATGACACACAAATGAGACAGATAAATGCTAAGTTTGGATACTTAATGGAAATACTTATTTCATTTTTTGTTGTTCTTGCACTAGAGATTATTTTCTCATGACTGTTGAAGTTTTTTGGAACCGAAAATGAAAAAATAGCATTTTTACAGTAAAAGTTTCATACTGTTAGGACTGCATGGTGGAGCAGTGGGTAGCACTTCTGCCTTGCAGAAAGTACTGGGTTTGATTCAAGGATGTAACTTTGTGATGAAAGTTTGTGGGGACACTCTAAGGGTGGAGGCTGATGGACCTACAGTTACTTGACCAAAAAGCTTTAATAGGGTTTGTATTTTTCAAAATTAAACTAAAACATATATTTATTGAATACTTTCCTATTGTTGAGAACACAAAAAAACTAAATATACTGATATTTATATTTATAGGTAATTAGACATTAATGTATAAAAAAAAGGATGAATAACAGCCGATTCTGATGCGAAAGGCAATATAGCATGTCATCCATCCATCAGTCCATTCAGAAAAATATGGATTGATAGATGGATGTTTTCCCTATCAGTTACATCAGTTATTATCCTCCTTCAAAAGCAGCAAAATCAAATTTAGAAATTTGTCCCACACAATGTTGAGAGCCAAAGTCTATCCATTGAAATTATTGGTGGGGACATGACCCTACCAGTCCTTCAGGAAGTTACGCCTGTGGTTTGATTCCTGGCCTTGGGTCTTTCTGCGTCGAGTTTGCATGTTCTCCCTGTGCATGCATGGGTTCTCTCTGGGTACTCCGGCTTTCCTACCACAGTCTAAAAACAGGACTGTTAATTGGTTTCCTCTAAATTGTCCTTAGCTGTGAGTGTGTTCGTACTTGGTTGTGAGTCATTGTGTGTCTCTGTGTTGCCCTGCGACAGACTGGCGACCTGTCCAGGGTGTACCCCACCTGTCACCCATAGACTGCCACATATAGGCACTGGCCCCACCATGACCCTGACAAGGACTAAAGGCCAATTTATGCTTCTGACTCATGGCCTCTGCAACCGTCAAATCTGTCTCTGTGCGCGACCATGCACCCTGCACAGAGGTTCTGCAACCGTCGTCACGCACCTACAAAAATCCTGACTACGCTTCGGATAGTAGCAAAACCTGCGCAGACTTCAAACGGAAGTGCGCAGACAAAAAGCAGCTGTGATTGGTCCTCGGTATGTCTTTCCGGCTGTCTGTGTGGTCGTCCTTCTCGATTCGGTGCCAGAGGCGCCATTTTTTTAAAATGAGGAACAACTAAAATGGCAACTATGACGAAAGGTTAATCGAGGAGGTTTGGAAGTACAACCACCTGTACGATGCCTCAGACAAATAATATAAAGATGCCAAGGTCTCCCAAAACGAAGTTCTCGTGACCACACGCAGAAGTTCGAGTTCTCAGATAGACTCCTCCTAGCGCTTTGACGGGAAACTGCTGTTCATCAGCAGAAATTCCAGTTTGACGGTGCAGAAGCATACCAGCAAAACTTGTTTGCAACCAGATCCAAGCGACATTTGATGTGTGCCTATGCAGAAGTATAATCCGCCCTCAAGTGGGAGAAAATGGAAATGGATGTTTCATACTGGCATATTTCATTAGTTTTATGAACACTAATACAATATAGAATAATAAGAATAAGACTACCAGGCCTGCAATGAGTAGAAGGTTCGTGAATAATCTGATCACCTGATTGTTGACTGCAGTAACCCATCAGAAAAAAGCAAAACTGAATATTGCTTAGGGCCCCATGGAAGTTTTGTCCGGCCCTGTAGGGAATTATCTTATTCTGAATTTTGTTTCCTCCAACCTCTTACAACTAAACAACCCCACTGTGGGTTTTTTGCCTCTTTTTCTGATTTTAAACGACCTAATCAACCAAACTAATTGCGGCTTAACTGAAGGATGAAGCAGCAGATGACTGCCTGCCTTTAGAGGACTCAGAAATCCTTGGGTATGCCCTGCGCAAAAGTGTAGGTATTTATTTCAGATGGAATGAAAACGTTAAGGTGGAGCTTTTATAATATAGGAGTGGGAGATATAAAAGCTGAGTTTTTTTTTTTTTTGTTTTTTTACTATGACCTCTTTAGAGGTAGCTACTTTTTATGCCTCCACGGACAAAATGTTGTTTTAAACAATCCTTTCTAATGCAAAAAAAACAACATGAACATTTGAAGTTTAATTTCAGTTAACATTTCATCCAAAATGGCAGTATTTTTCAGTGATAAGATGCTGGTTCTTTGGTGCGCAAAAACGCGCCTCTCCTCTACATACCACCAAATCCAGGTCGCAGCCTGTTGTCATATCCATCCAAAAGTCGGTCCAATATCCGAGTAAAATTCTCCGGGTAGATCCTCTCATCCTTCCTTGTTTGTCCGGAGATGTTTTTCACACTAGGAGGGGGGATAATATTTAAAAAAGAAAAAAGAAGCCAACTTTCATGTCTGAACCAGCTTTCAGCGCCTCACTCACCAAGTCGTCAACCAGAAAAAGTAGATCAGGGTCCGAATAAGCGCGGGTCGCGTCGCTGTCACCATCTCCTTCTTCTTTGCGGACAGCATCCTTGCATGCCATACTTCAGGCTGCTTCACATCTCACCGCGCCAGCCGCCTGCGTCCCGGAGAAACACTTGGAGAGACGCGGCAGCGGCGGCAGGGCGCAGCGCAGCGGCGCAGGGAGGACGCTGCTGGAAGTTGTGAGAGGCTCTCTGCGGTCTCTGTCACACGCACAACACAGCGGCTCTTCCACGCACACACACGCGCAGACACACATACCTTCGCCCTTCAACACCGGACGGTCAGCTGCTGTCCGGATCCGAGGAGCAACAGGAATGACCCTTCCTTCTGCCTCACCTTCCTTCTCTTATTCTTTTCCTTTCTCTCTCCATCTCAGCCTGCTGTCTACTTCCCTTCTCTAGTGTGCACATTTCTGTGGAGAAGATCCCCTCATCTCCTTTATTTCAAGCCCCAAGACTCAACATCCTCCTCCCAGGGGCGTCTGCAGAAAGTTTTACCACATTTGTGGTGGCACACCAAACTAATAACCAGAGCAAGATTTGGTCAAATGAGGCTTTCCCTTGATCCTCTTATAGATTTTTTTTAAACCTGCTCAGTTCATTCTGTCAATGAGCTATGAAGCTACAATCTTTATAATATTTTTACTTTTTTTGGCAAATGTTTATTTGCAAAGTGGCTCAAATTCTGTGTAGAAAGAACAGTTCTCACATCTTGCCACGTGTTCCTAATTGAATTCAGGTCTGACCTTGGACTGGGCATCTGTAAAACATTAATATGAACGGTTCAAAAGGTGCATAAAAAACATGACTTGACAGCATATTCAAAAGGTCCTGCAAACATTTCACTAACACACAAACAAAAAAACAACATTCACAAAGGAAAGAATGCCACAAGTTGCAAAAAATAACTGCAAGCTAAGAAAAGCTGCAATTACAAAAAAATAGAGAGAAGCGAACTGCAAACATAATACTGGCTGCAAATAAATAAAAGATTGCAAAGACAACTGCAAATTTTAAAAAAGCGAAGTGTTCCAGACGCCCAAGGGAACCCAATCATAAACTCATCTGGAACCAGAAGGTGGGCATGGCAACTACAGATTAATATGTATCGATTAGACCCTTAGCCAAAACTTAAAAAGTAGGCAGCTTTTCTTAGCCTGCACTTGTATTTGCTACTTGCAACACTTGGATTTCTTTGCATGTGTTTTTTTGTTTGCCTGTGTGTTAGCAACGTTTATGTATTTGCGATGGGTTTGCGTTTGCAGCATGTTTGCACCTCTCTGTTCCGTTGTCTGTAATTTCAACTTTTCTGCTTTTCAGATTTTTTTTTGGCGTGTATTTTTTTATCATATGTCAACATAATTTCTGTGTTAGCAAATTTGTTAGGCTGCAGGACTTTTTCAATATGCTTTAATATAATGCATCGACACAGAGTCTGCACCCCTGAGCCACTGTAAATATGCTTTGAACTAAACCATATCAGTTTAAATCTGGCTGCATGTTACATGTTATATTACACCAAATGTAATGTTTCAGGGATGGGATTTTTTTTTTAAGTCATCATGTAAATAGCAAAATGCAACTCAGAGAACAGCTCTTATTATTGATTGTTTTACTGTAGGCATCTTATTCTTGCAAGAGGAGAAATTGCTGTCTCAGTAAGTAAAAGTTTATTTTTAGCAACTTTAAAAAAACAAGGGGAGGTCACAAAGAGCTTTATAGAAAGTTCCCAGAAAAATGGAAAAATGGAAAAAAATAAATGGAAAAATAAGTTCATCTCAAAATAAGTTCATCTCAGTGAAATATAGATTAAATGAAGTTAAATACCACCATGGGAGTAAAATAGAGTACACAGTACATGGGAGGTCATACAACACTGTCACTGTAGTGAATTCTTGGATAAACAAAGGAGGAAACATCAACAGAGTCAAGATAACGTAATGTAAATGTGTCTAATAGTCCATGAAAGCTCTCCTAACTACCATGGATTAGTGCGGCCGTATTGTAGGCTGTAGTGTAATTCTCTCCTGGGAAGCTGCCTCCTCTATCCAGGCTGTGGTTTAGAATCTCCTGCAGAGATATGGCCGGACTTATTACAACCTCCATCATCTAGCAGTTCCAAAAAAGACTCACTGAGAAATCCTAGCGCTGTCGGTCCATATAGGCATCCTTAAATAGTTCCAGCATCGCTCTCTCCTCCAGTCTTATTCAAAGCATGCATCCAATCAGCATAAAATACAATAGACAGAAATTTAGAAAATCTAACTTCTGTAGTTCATAGGAACGTAAAGGGGTAAACCATAAAAAAACTTAATATATCATGAATTACATGTAAAATGCATTTATTCATCAATAAAAGATTCAAGTATTTCATTTTCCACAACTTTGAATTTTAAGTATATCTTAATGACAAAATGAATAAATATTTTAAAAGTGATCATTAATTAACTTTCTATGTATAAATCAATAAAAAGTGAAGTAATTATATGTAACGTTATTCTTTGGTCATAGGCTGAATTTTTTGGGGACCCCTGCTCTAGACCACAGAGTAGAAAGAGACTCTGCAGCCCCTACAGAGCCATCATCTCAAATTGAAACTGGTGTCCAGTCCTAAAATGGTGCGTCTTCCTCTCAGCCTCTCTATCGACCAGCAGCTGCCACTCTCTGCCACACAGAAGTGTCAGTCGCAGCTTAACCTACATGCTGAACTAGTTTCAAGAATGCATTGGTGAGCGCCCGCACTTGGATTCAAATGGGTCAGTCTTGTCGCAATACGCAATTGCACTCACATGCACACTGGCCAGCATGCATACACACACACACACACACACACACACACACACACACACACACACACACAGGTACTGTAAAGTAACTGGGACAAGCCACATGCTGCTTCACAGATTTCTCTGCACCTGGGACAAGAACAAGACCTTCACTCGTTTTGTGTGTGCCTTTGTTTCTGGCATGCAAAGTGGGTGTGGGTGCGGGTGTGTGTGTGTGCGGCTCTGAAGGTGAAGCACGGTTGAATCAAGATGTCTGGGTTCCACCACACTGGCTTTCCTGATGAGTTTGAAAGTGTAGAAAGAAGCACGCTTTTTTGTTTGTTTTTTTCTTTACCCAAACAGAAGCTTCTCGGCGTGAGGGGGAAGCTGAGGAAGCATTATGTAGATACAGTTTCTTTTATGCGAGCTGAAGTCATGCAGTCTTGTAAGGCAGCTCTCAATCTCCTGCACAGCCGCCCACCACCAGTCCTCCCACAATACACCAGAGCAAGGCGGCTCTGTGGGGGATGAGTAATGCACGCGCTCCTTGTGGGGGCAGGCATTCGTCCGAGGGAATCTTTCTTTCTGTTTGCGCCTAATCTTTTTAGGCATTTGATTACTGTTTGCTCTTTAAAGAGGGGGGGCTTTCACAGCAGACTGCACAACAAGGCTGTTTTCATATTGACTCAACAACAGTCAAATGCCTCAAAATGTCAGGCAGATTAAGGAAAAGATGCTTAGGCCTTATTACGCCTGTTGACCTTTCCTTGTAAGTCTGGCTGGTGTTTAAATTTCCATACATGATGTTCTACTGTGTCAACACTTGTGGCCTGGAGACACTTTCAGTGCCTGTCACGGTGAGGAATTTTTAGAGGTCTTTAATTGAATTTTGGTTATTGTACATCTCCGTCATGAGGCAGTCGGAAACAGGATCCGCTGCTTTGTAAGCAGCATGCCCTACAGTAGATTGACTGCAATGATAATCTTTTTTTAGCTCTCTATGAGCCAGCGTGTGCTTGTAAAGTGGGAAAAGGAAAGCTAAGATAGAGATTTAAGATAATTGTGAATGCTTTGGAAATGGGTCCACAAAGTTCACAGTACCAACAACTTGGGGGACCTGATTAAAAAGCACCTTGATGATGTGACTGCAGAGTCTGTCAGATAGATCTTTAACCTTTTTTTTCTTTTTTTTTATTCACCAATTGCTTGTTTAACAACCATAGGTAGAAATACAAAGTTAAACTGAAAGATTACTGCGACCTGCTGGCATATTGATTGTTATTTTTGTGTTTTTGCATCGCATCAAGAAAATGCAGAGAAATTAGGGTTCAAACTAACAAATACTGCAGAATGGGAGAATAGAGATAGAATGAATGATGAAAAGGGGTCCCCATGTCCTCCAGCAGTCTAAACCTATAGCAGCATAACTATAGAGATAGCTCAGGATAACCTGAGCCACTCTAACTATAAGCTTTAACAAAAAGGAAAGACAGACTGGTTGTCTGCCTCACTGACTTAAACTGGTAGTTGGTTCCACAGGAGAGGAGCCTGATAACTAAAAGATCTGCCTCCCATTCTAGTTTTAGAAATTCTAGGCCTGCAGATCGAGAGCAAAGTGCTCCGTTAGGAACATAAGGAACAATCAGATCTCTGATTTTAAAAAAATGGAGCTTGGCCATTTAAGGCTTTATATGTGAGAAGGAGGATTTTAAATTCCATTTTAAAATAAACTGAATATAATCTCCATTAAATAACAAAATTATCACTGCACGTATAATTATTTCTAGTTTTACAGTTTATTTTGATGTGTGACAGAACTCAGTATTGCAATCAACATACATTTACCTAATTACCTCTCACAATCGGCAAGTTATCCAATTTATTTTTACAGTTTCAGCACTGCAATTAAAATGAGCCCAACCTTCTGTTTTAATCTTTCTCGGAAGTCAAATTAAGTTAAAGCAGAGATCCCTTGTCAGGATAAAAATAATCATCTTTATTGCTTAAATCACAAGACAAGGAAAAAAGAATGGACAGATAGATTGAAAGAGCGATCGCTCCAGGGGAAAACAACTGGAAATAAGCTCCAAAGTATAATTGTCTTCAATGGGCAGTAGTTGCTCTTCACAATAGGAAATTGTATTTTATTGATTTTGACTGTTTCCTACTGCATGTTTGTTATGTGTCCTACCTCAATTATCATTATAAAAAAGTGTTGGAAACTGTCCAATGTAAACATAGTATAAATAATTTAACATAATTTACAATTACATTTTAGAAACTGGAAGATGTACACGTTGATTTAAGGTTATTTGCCACTATCGCCTTTAAAGTACTTAGCTTGTTTTTGAGATTATCAGTATTATGATTATAAAGAGGGGTTTTAATTAAGTTTTCAACAATATTAGTCAGGATACATTGAAGGACTTCTTTGGAGAGATTGGATTCCTCCGGGGAGATTGTTGATGTTATGGGTTATGGGAAGAAAATAGGGGGTTACTAAAAATGTTTCACTTCTTCAAAGATATATAGATAGATATATCATTAACTATATATAGTTTCTATGTTAAAT